AATTTAGATCCAAATTCGAATCCAAATCCGGTAGAAACTTAAATTCGATTTCGAATCTAAATTTGTTGCGAATCCAGATTTGAATTCGAAATACGGATCCAGATCCAATACTTTTATTATTCGGGTATCTTAAAAGATTCGGATAACCCGAATTTGAAGCGTCACATTTATTCGTTATCCGGATAGCGTCAAATCCGAACGAATCTTGAAGCCCTAATAAGAGTATACGTGAATAGAATATACATGGATAGGAATGTAATTGTCCGAATGTGTTACCTATAAGCTGGTGAACCTAAATCAAGTGGCGGCATATCCATTATTTGAAAGTGCAATCCTAACGAGGAGAACAATTCCTCCTGTATATTTTGAAGATCTTGAAACACCTCCTCAGATTGGTTCGGTTCGGAACAAACAAACATCTCCACTTTAGTGAATTGGTGAACTCTGTCCAAATGTAAAGAGAGAATAAAATCGATTTAAGGAATTTAAAATTTACCCTTATCAGGGTTGGGTAAGTTAATATTTTTTTTTAACTAAGTTAAGTTAAAGTTAACAATCTAAAAATTTAACTTAGTTAAGATACAAGTTAGTCCATAATAAAATTAACTGAATTAAAAGTTAAGTTAGTAAAAAAAAGTAATTGAAAAGCTAAAGTTCAAAGAACTTTTTCCAACGTGATTTAATGCACAGAAGGTCCACGAACAGTGACTCCTTCCTGCGGTCAGACTATATTTATTATATTATTACAATTGCCTTGATGTGCGTTCTCAAATTTGAGATTAAAGACACTAACTTAGACATGTATCTTATTTTGGGTTTACAAGAAGCACCAAAAATGTAACTTCAAGAAAATTAGATCAAAAGTTAATAGTTACCGATAAAATGTAACTAAATTCAGTTAAAAGTTAAGAGCCTAAAATGTAACCAAGTTAAGTTAAAATTATTTAACTTTTTAACTTAACTTTTATCTTTTTAACTAGCCACTACCCAACCCTGACCCTTATATGCTAAGTGTTAATAACAATGTAATTTCACACCTATAGATTCCTCTTTCATCCAGAGAACCCGCTAACTAGCCACTACCCGACCCTGACCCTTATATGCTAAGTGTTAATAACAATGTAATTTCACACCTATAGATTCCTCTTTCATCCAGGGAACCCGAACCCTCTGCACGATAGCATCGACTGACGGCGGCCAATTTCATCGGTAGGGCGTCGCAGGAAAGTGTAGCGTTCATCAGTTTGCCAGCCAATGACATTTCCGCGGTTCCAGACAAGCTATAGCTGTCACCGTAATAAGAATCTAAATTATATACCAAGGTCCGATTATCATCCACTACTAAGCCACACCTCTCGATTATTTTAGTCAGGACGATATCCGGTACCGATAACAATTTAAATCCATGCTTCCTCAATTTTCTAAGTGTATACTGAATCAACGCTTCCTCCAATTCCGCCAGATCCCCCAGGAGTGCGTAGCTTCTTTGTCCAGTGACAGGGCCCAGCGTATGGGTCCTTATCGCTTTTAAATTAGTGGCGAGCTCGGCAAACTCTTGCGGCTCAAAGTCGAATTCTGGCTTTTCGCCGCACTCCTTCATCAATCTTGGCTCATCGCCATACTCAATTACCGCAGGATGTGTACAGTTCGGTATTTTGCTTAATTCTTGCAAGAGCAATTCTCGCTTCTCGGGTTTGTCAGAATATTCGAGGACTTTATCGATATCTCCAATACCTTTTCTTCTTTTAATATTGTTGAAAATAATGTCACGGTTCGCAGGATTGCATAAAAAGTCTGTATTATATTTTGGCTCCGGCAAAATCAACCTCGTGCCAATCACATTTTTCTCCGGTGTTTCTGCAGGCTGTTACAATTATTATTATTATTAAAATACTACTTTAAATGTTATTATTGAAGTAAATAATGTAAGAAAAAATTTCGAATATGATACTACATACCAACGTGTGTAACGAGAAATTCCGTAATCTACAAAACTGCTTAAAATTTTGAAGACTAAATCTCATTTTATTTTTTGAAGACAAACGTATCAGTTCATATAATCTCAATAACACGTGTCCAGTTAAAGAAATAAGTTATAAAACAATGCTGTCCAGCATGGTACTGTTGACAGTGTTAACGATTCGCTTAGGCGTACAATGCTGCAAAACATAAAATCATTTTGATAAAATTCGATAGCGAGGAAGATATTTGCATTAATTTATCTCATCAAAATCTTTACGTCTAATATTTTTTTTGTGGTTGCACTGGATGGCGAGCATGCGTCTTCAACTTCGCTTCGAGGTTATATGACGCCTTATCTCTTTCAGCTAAATAATGTATACTTTTAAATCATTTTCCCTATTTTCTTGATTAAACATTAAAAATAATTTCGATTTTTTTTTCTATTTTTTGTACTTAATCAGGTCAAATATACCTTTACTTCGTTCTAGATTTCTCGTCTTCTTCTTTCAGTTATAATGGCCCTGGTCCCCTGAGCAGGGGTAAACTTGGCCAATCTAATCCCAGACACCTCCAACCTTCCACAAGCGTACCGACAAACGGAGCCGTGCCAAAATGGCACTCAGATACGTTACCGCGCGCGCCATCTCTCGCCAACCCGAGCACCGACGCGCGCCATGCCCGCTTCCCGGAGAGGGAATTTTAAACGGACAGAGAACAGGCTCTGAGGAACGAGAGGAGTAGACGACACATTTTTGGTGTGGGCATAGCTAACAAAGGAAAGATGTTATTTGAGTGGGAAGGAAAGTTTTTCTGTATGTATTTCAGAATGGGAGTGGCTTTATGCCGTGTGTTGGGACAATAAAAAAGAATGTGATTAATGTCTTGAATTGAGTCTCCGCAGTCGCAGGCGGGTGAAGAAACCATATTTTTTCTGTAAAGACTGAAATTTAAGTTGTAGTGGTTGCTCCTGAGTCTATTGATGAGTACAATTTGATGCCTGTTTAATGGAATCTTGAAGTACCAAGGTTTAGA